TACCGAATACGCGATTAGTGGTAGGCAAGTAAACAATTTGTAACATAGATCTGGACAATATGCACGGACTATGACGCGAAAATTCTAAGAAAAAATCCTAAAAAGAAATTTGTTTATTTTTATAAATCCATTAATAAAGAAATATTAATGCATCACTAATTACCAAGGCCGCGTGAAATCCGACATGATTTGTGATTTTGGTAACCATTTTGAATCTATTTATCAATTCGACTAAATATTCTAAGGCATCTATTCTTGGCTTAATTTTGGTGTATCGAGGGAACGTCGGTGGCAGCAATCTTTGGTTTACCATTGGATCAAATCCCATAATATTTGGATGATTAGCTATAAAACCATAAATAATTCATTATTTTCTTACATAAATAACATTGTTTTTTATATAAGAAAACATTACGTAAATATTCATTCTTTTATAAAGAAAATAAATAACTAATTCCAAATTTAAAAAAAATGTATATAATAAAGAATATGTAATAGTATGTCTATATATACTTACAAACTTCATCAGCTTTTTCTCCGCGAACTACTGTTGAAATCATAATATTAAGCATATCGGAACAATTCGATAACAATCTCTGGCAATCATTTAAATTCTGTTGCAACTGCTGCTTCCGGCCCATCAATGTTAACACTTGATAGAACATTTTCGTAAATCGGATCCTCGCGTAAAGTGCTATTCCATCGTTATACTATAAATCAATTAGTAACAAAAGAGTTAAAATAAATATAACAAATTAATATTATATGTTGAGTAAGCACAAAAATATTAAAATTATAGAATAAGATATAATTTTAAAATATAAATTATAATCTAAACAACAAAAAAAGAAAAGCTAGAGATTTACCTCTTTCTCAGATTCAACATCGACGAGTTTTATCCGACTTTTTCGATGAAGTTCTTCTTCAACTTCCCGCAACATCGATATTGTTTTTTGTTCCGTAATATCTTGCTGTAATCTATAGCCATATGTAACACTCTGAAAATCCTCCTCTTCGAATACCAAAGCTTTATTGATGCAATCTTTGATTATATCTATTATCTTATATACTGCGTAACAGAAAGTCTTCAAAGGTTTATCTAGTATTTGCTCAGGCTGATGCAAATACAAGTTCGTGAAAACGGTTTGCGCAAGACTGTGACCTTCCAACCAAGATACTATACACGCATATGTGGAATCTATTATTCCTATAATTTCAGCAGACGTAAAGCTGTCCAATTTGATTGCGCCTGAATCAACTGCCTGGGCAAAAGTGCAAGGCTTGTTATTCCCCCGATTGCACAACATACCAGCATCCATTTTTGGATCCATCATCTCGATAGCAGACATGGCTTCAAATAACCCAAACAGCTCATCATGTAACAGTTCTCCCAGTTCCAACTCTAAATGCAGAATGTAAAAAAATATACTGGCATTCCAAAAATATAAAACATTATTAGTCTTAATATTATTTGTAGAAATTAAAAAAGGTTTATAATAATTAAATCTTAAAAATCACTTATATAATAATTAAAGCACTTACTGCGATAGTGCTAACCTACATTTTGTAAAAACAGAGAATAAATATATTTTTCCCATGACTCTTTAACTTTAGAAATTACTTTCTTTATTTTTATAAAATGTGGATTAGTCTACTTCTACAGTAAGAGCTCTTAAATTATTTTTTACAGAATATATTCTATAATGATACAAAAACTCTTATGTTCCCAACCTCTTTTCTTAGATAGAAATTTGACACAAATCATTAATTTTTTCATGATTCATGTAAAGAATAATAAAAGGATAAGGATAATATCATAAATATAAGAATAATTAATTTAAAAAAAAATTAGTTATTGCAATTTATATGTGTATGTATATATTTTATAATTTTTTCTATTTTAATACATGTAGTTTTTATACATAATTATTCATTAATGCAAATTAAAAGCAAAAAGGTTTCGCAATCTCCAATAACTTTTACGTAATCCTTCAAGGAGTCACAACCCATAATTTATGCCACTGATTTAATATTGTATAATGTTTAACATATACATTACTATTACACTACATAGTACATGTATTACTATAATATGTGTGTAATATATATATATATATATTATCCTTTATAATTTATACACATATTTATTATAAACTTTGCATGTAATATGTTTTGTACTTTTTGCTTATATTAATTATATATATTTATGTCAAATATATTCTAATAAGTTTAAGGAAGAAAATGTAAACAAAGTAGAAAGAAATTAACATAAAAGAAAGTCTATTTGTTTTACATTTATAATAACTTATATGTTTAGATTTACTTTCTAAATTTCATTAAAATAAAAAAAATGATATAAATTACATAAATGTTAAATACAGCAAAGTAACATAGATTGATGATAAAGCTACGTTAATAAAAGTCACAATAACTAAGAATATAATTCACAAAGAATTATATTCATTGACTGTACGAAATATGAATATACATGTATATCATAATCAAAATATGTTTTTCTTTCAAACAATGTACTTCATTTTTTAATTCCATATTAAACATAAAAAAATAATTAAATATTAATTTAATAACAAAATAGAATCAAAATTTAAGCATTACATTGATAATTTCATAATTAAACATAAAAAAGGAAAACAATAAATGATAATAATGAAAATTTACATTAAAGATTGGCTAACATCTGTTCCTTTTTTCTTAACCTCTTTCTTACTCCTTTCATCATTTCACTAATTTCTGTTTCCCTTTTTCTCCATCTTATTTTAAATAATTATTCAAATATGAAAAGCATAAAGCGGCCCAGCCAAAGATAAATAGATTCAATATTCATAGCACAAGGCCGTAGTAAAACTAATAGAGGAAAGGAGAGAGCGCGGGACAGGAAAACGACAGTCCGGTTCGATCCAAAGTAACGACCGATTTGACAGTTAAGTACCTGTAATCGCCTCGAAGAACTCTTGAGTTATGTCCACCCAGTTATGCACGATCGGGTCGAATCTACAAGATAAAAGCAGGACACGGCAGTTAAAAAATACCGTCCTACGTTGTGCGAGTGGATGGCACGACTAGGTTAAATCACTATCGAATGCCGTGACGGTGGCACGACAAACTGTCGTGTCCATTGTTCGTCGGCAACTCACGAATGAGACTTATTGCTACAATTTATCTACATCGAAACTTACGGTAAATCTTTATCCTCATTGATATCAACTGAATTCTGATCCTCCACCATAGTCGCCATTATTGTGGATGATGTTCTGTTCAGTAAGTTCAGTGTTCAGTTCATCTCGTCGCAGGAATGCCACTCTCGGTTGTCGCGTCAAAAATCCCTGAAAAACATTGCAGTGAGTATCGCGTGAACTTTACCTGGCTTTAAAAATCTTGACTAAATTTAATCTTCGGTTAAATTATAATTAAATAACACTTTTTATTAATGTAGATTAATTTTAATAGTGCAGATTAACAACAACACACAACTTTTTAATAAATGTAGATTATAACAACACAGATAAATTTCTCGGTTCAACTCTTCACCTTTTTCTACTCTTTTTTTTTAAGAATTAAAACATATAAAAGTAAGTTAAATGAAGATTAAAATTAATCTATATCGTTGGAAACAGACATTAACCGACAGAATTGTTTAAAGTAAAATTTTTGACTATATGATTAATTCCAAATCTAATCTTTTTTTTTCATTTATCAAATTATCAAAAAGAGAGCTGATAATTCTGTGTTAATAAAATAATAAATATTCGTGTTAATAAAATAAGTTAGTCATTAATTAAATAATCGATGTTTAGTTGAAATCCTAAAAATAGACTTTACTTATGCCGAATTGCAAAGTCTAAACTAATTTTAATAAAGCTACATAACAAAAGTTAACATAAATCTAAATTAATTTGCCATAATTTTCAATCTAGTATTGTATTTTCATAAATTAAATTTTTTATTTTTTATTTGCACTTGCAGTTTAAAGTCCGTATTAGATTTTTATATTTGAGACTGTCTTAAGTACAGTCTTAATATAACCAAATGTTATAAGCCAATCGAGAACTATATTAGCACCTTAAAATATCATTTAAGACAGTTTTAAAACAAGAACAGACTATATATAAATACCGGCTTTAAGTCGAAATTCCTCTAAAATCTTGCGGTGCATTTTTCCCGCGTTGGCTCGCGTGCAAAGTATTTTACCAACTGACAAATCGCTAGAAACTTATCATTTATCACTAAACTCCTAATCGTTTGTCTCACGAATATTGGTGCGGCCAATAAACAATAGAAGGAATAAGGAATTAGGAATAAGAATTCCAACCTATCAGAAACCGTGTATTCCGGTGTATCCGATATCTGATAGATTGAAATCAATATTCCTTATTCCTAATTCCTTATTCTTTCTATTGTGAATGTACCTTAACGACTGCGTTGCTTTTTGTCCTTGAAACACGAAACGCGCTCGGAATCGGAGTCCTTCGTTTACATTCGTCGCACATCGGAGAGCTCGCTAAACGACTTGAAGATTGAGGGGAGAGGAAGGAGAGTAAGCAGGGTGGCCGGAGAATCTGGGGGAATCTGGCGGTAGTGCGTGATACGTTGTCGTCTCGGTCGGAATCGTTTGTCGTTTTGCGTTAAAAAAAACAGTGTACACATACGTCGCGGTGTATGTCGAGTGTCGTTGCGTCTTATCAATATCACCGGAAGAGAAAAGAGAAAAGAAAAGAGAGAGAGAGAGATAGAGAGTGCGGCCGGTCGCGTCGTAAATTGTCCGCGATCGCAGTGATCGCACGAGAAACGAGAAACGTTTGAAGCCGGTGTTGTTACGTAGTACGGACCTTATTGCGCGTTTCGCCTCGCTTCGCTTCATCTCGCCTAGTTTCGTCCCGTCCCGTCCTGCTTCGTTTCGTTCCACGGTTCGTCCGGTTGCTCATCGTCTCGTCTCATCGAAACACGCAAAAGTGCATGCTACCATAGATTGACAACGGATCTACGCGCCTCGCGACACACGGCGGAGGATGTTGGATCGCGACACGGCGATACATCTCGTCGCCGGAGGGTGGGTATTATTTTCGACCAGCGCGCGCGCGCGCGTCTCAGACCTGGCCCGACCCGGCTTTGCTCTACTCTGCGGACTGTTCTGTTCTGCGTCACCAGCCTTGGCAGGTCTTCTTGATCTCTCCTTTGCGATACGTTCGATTTACACGATCCCGATCGAGTCGAGGACAATTAATAGCTTTCTCGTGGCCTCTTCGCGCGGTCTCAATCGGGCTGAAACCAGAGACCACTTTTCCCGAGAGGTCTTTAATCTGAAGCGCATTTGACATGCATAGGGTGCTCCGAAAAAAACAAATATTTATCAAGCAATTTATTACTTTTGAATATTTTCTTGCCGATCTTCTGGTCGGTTTTCCTAGCGTTATGGATTTTTTTTAAGAATATCAGCTAGAGACTGATAACTCTGATTATCGCTGATAAAAGATTTTAAACTTAGATCTAAAACACTACATTCACTGAAAAATATCATCATTTAATATCAGGATTGCATCAGTTAAGCAGACTCCATTTCTATGTCTTGAATTAGCACGTCAGATTTTTTTGCCTTTTCATACACATTATATGTATATATGAAAAAAGAAAGTTCAACGCACTAATAATTAAAGAGTGGATTAAATTAAATCAAAGAACATAAAAATTTTATAAAAATATATTAATTTATATATTGTACACATAAAATATAAGAAAAAATTTAATTAATTAATTACAATCTTGTTTAGTCTATTTTTTATTTATTATGTATATATTTTGTTTATATTATATATTATCATTATTCTATTTGTCATGGTTATTGATTTAATATCTTGAGGGATTAACGATAAGAGATTAACTGGAATGAATTAATCAAAATTATCCAAGAACATTTAAGAGTGCTCAGTTATAAACAAAGTCTAATTAAAACTTTTGTATAATAGTAACGAATAAAAAATAAATTAACAAAGGTTATAATTAATTAATTATTTTTCTAATTTTTATGTATACGATATACAAATTCTAATAAATAACTTTATAAATTTTTTTTATCAATGTTTTCTAATTTTTTATCAATGTGTGAGTAATAACTTGTATTTTTGTCGAAATCGAAGGTGAACACTTTAATGGATTTATAATCTAGTGATGATTGGAAAAAGAATTAACATTCAATGCTAACATTTCATTAAATAGTTTTGTTCAATATTTTTACAAAAGAAAAATAAACTTTTTAATGAAAGGAATTATATAAAAAAAAACAAAATTGGAACATCTATGAGAATTGAATTGTTTTATTCATTAAGATTGAAGATTGAACACGTAATATATTATATATATTACGTTATATATATATGTGTGTGTACATGTATGTATAAATTTTTAGTTTTTAATCCATTTAGAATGAATTTGGATTTATATAAGTCAAAAATTAAAATTTTAGAGATATGATATAGAATAGAAAGGAAGATGTAATTTCTTTCCAGTCTACATCGCATAATTAAACAATATAAAATGTAATACAAACAAGCATTTTCGTAATACAAATGTGAAAACGAGATAAATCAATTTTATCACAAATGTAGTTTATAAATGCATTACTGCGATAATAAAATCAACTCGTTTTATCTTTGCGCTTAAAATGTTATGGAAATTCACACTTCAACTATTTTTTCGTTTTTTAAATTATCTAATGAAATAAATCTCCATCTTACGTAAATGTTTCGAAATTCTTCTGGCTTTGTCACAATTACAAATAAAAAGTATTGATAGACATGACAAAAAACATATAAATGCTGCTCAGTTCGATGTCTGTATTCATGATCACTATTCTTGTCGAGACGATTGAATTGAACCGACACGACGACGAAGTGCACGTGGTCGTAACTGCGACAAAATTATCGGACAATTATTTCTAATTCAAAAGGAGTTCACATTCAGAGCAAAATCGAAATTCACGCTTACGAATTAGCGATTTTTTTTAGATAATTATCGAGAAAAGCAACTTTTCTAACAAAGATTCCTTTCATTTCTGATAATTATAGTACATGTTACTACGTGTGCAGATTAGCACGTAATCTCTGTATATCAAATTCTTATCGACGATGTAGTAAATTTATCATCTTTTTATAATAGTCACGATATATACAGTAAATAAAAAGTATATGCGTGAAAGAAGCCTGAATGTTGCATACATTTCTGATAACCTTAAATAACTGAATATAGTTCAGCGATTGTTGTGGTCTTTCTAGGCGATATAGATAATACCGGTTTTTCTCTCCAATATCGTTTAACCTCAAGCAGTCGAATCTACTTTTTCTCGCTTTTTCTGTTTAGTGTATAATATAGTCGATATATCGCAGAGATGTTAAATCAATATAATAATAATAATAATAATATTGAATAATACAAAATAATATTGAATTATTTGAACTTGAAAAATGATAATAAATATAATGAATTAAATTGAGATAAAATTTTCACGTGGAGAAAATTTAATTAACCGTTGAACGTAAAAATATTATTATTTATTTAATTTTTATATGATTTTATTATTATTTGGGAGT